TTTATCTATATATCCTGATCTTTATCTTCATAATTTTTTTCTTCTACAGTTTTCCCTAAAGCTTTCGAAAAATCCAAAAAAAATCCCAAATATCCCGAAAAAATCAAAGTACTGTAGCTAAATTTATTTTCCGAAGCAGAAACAAATACTAGAAAATTTCTAATTCTGTTAATAGGTACTTTTACTTTTCATTATTTACTTGACTTGAATAAGTTAAGATTTAAAGGTGCTTTTGAACTGAAAGTTACTGAGTGCACCCGAAAAGTGTCGAGAACAATTCGGAAACATCCCAAAATTATTCCAAGAAATAACAACACGAACAGTTCCGAATATAATTCAAAACAAATCGCGAAACTACCGAAAATCATAACATTTAGGAAAAATCTGGAAAGGTGCCAAAAAATTTATAAAATATCCGGAAAGCTGGCGAAAATCACAAAAATAAAAACACAAATAATCCCGAAAAACTAAAAAAATACTGTAAAGAATACCGAAACTAAATTTATTTTTCAAGAAAATGAATTCCATTAGAAATTTGCCGATTATTTTAGCGTTGTAATCGTATATTTTCACTTTTTATAATTTAGGCATTCAAATTAGAATTCAGGTGCACTTTTGGACCTAAAAATATCCGAAAGCTTCCGAAAAGTGCGCAAAATATTCCGAAAAATAAAAACATTTTGAGTTCTGCAAAAAATTTCGAAAATGCTAACATTTATGGGGATTCCCGAAAATCGCAAAAACTCCGTAAAATAAAAAAATTAAAATTATGCCGAAAAATTAAAAAAATCCGTAAAAATAACAAAAATTCTAAAAACTCCGAAAAATAAAAACACAATTAATCGCGAAAATCTCGAAACCGATATCAATAATAATTCCAATAGGATACGAAAATCCCGCCGAGATCTCGAAAAGTCTCCACAAAAATCCATAAAATTACAACTAAATTTATTTATCAATGCCTTAAAAGATAAAATGGTAAAATTGTCGCTTATTTTCGGTTAAAAAACAAAAATCAGGTAAACTTTTCTTTAAATTTTTTCGCTTTACTTTTCAAAATATTTTATTCTTTTATGTAGATTCACTGATAATAGTTTTCTTCTACTATTATGTAGGCTGAAGCACAATTTTTACCCTTCAAGCTATAGGGCCCTAAACCCCCAAAAAATATATTACTTATTCCATGAATTTTTTGAGCGAGGAAAATTTGCATTGCCGAAATTCGCACCACATCAGTCTTCAAAAATTCTTTGCACATACATAAGTTTATACAAGTGTACTAAAAACGTCCTTCGCCATTCGTGGTTCAACCTTGGCACTTATGTATGTACATATAACAACCTTGGCAAACATATTTCCACTTTGCTTGCTAATCAAGAAATTGTGAAAATTAAGCTATAATTTAGTTATGTTTTGCAATTTAGCAAATTGTTACGTTACCGCTTATGCAGGAAGGCAGCTGATACTTGAGCTGTGTGTACGCCTACGAGGCGTATGAGTAACCAACCGCATGAATTCCATTTACAACGTATAGCAAACATCTGTTGCACATACATATGTACATACATACATACATATGCGTATATGCGGTTAGTTTGTGCGTGAATTTTGTAAGTCAAAATTGTTGCGCAAACAAATTTTGTTAGTGCATGCAATCTCGTTATAAGTAAACACTAGCATGTATGTATGTAGGTATGTACATTAGCAATTATAAGCCTGCCTGCCTGCATTGCGTTACACTTAACGAGAATTTCGCTAAGACACAAAAATAATTTAATCAAGAATGCTGTTATGTCTGCGAGGCAAATTCTGCATCATACATACATTTGCTGTTTAGCTCTGTGGCACCAAGTCAACTACTGTTACATATCATTTCGCTTAAAACCGAGTACAATTATTCACTAACTAAAGGATTATCTAAACGAGCACAGTAACTGGGCTCATACTGGATCCTAAGCTAAGTTGGAAAATAAATATAGAAAAAAAGGGGGAAAGAAATCAAGCGTTGCCTGTTAATCCTGCTAGCAGGAAGTAATGGGATCTGCACAATGCGCACCGCATCCGTGTCTGCTATAAGACCCAGAAAACTGGGTATATGTAAAAAAATAACGCTAGGGCATGACAGTATAATTTCTCGATTGTTGCCTAAGATGAGACTTGCATACGACCTGAAGTAGAATTTCACAGGCTTTTGGGCGTTATTCTCCTGTCGATAGCCGACTGGGATGGGCAATTTGATTTCTCCGCCTGGATGCATGATCTAAATATACAGCGATGGCTCTAAAATTAAAGGCAGAGTTATGGGCTTTTTCTCTTAATCCCTGGTATTACGAAAGTCAATAATTCTGCGCGATTTTATAAAAGTTTTCCAGTAGAAGTGTGCTTTCTGACCGAAAATTTTCTCGTCTGAGCTTGATCCTGTACAGCGATCTATGGTGAGAGGGGTAGAGAACGCATGAGCTTGGTAATCGCTGGGCTCTCTTGTCAAATATGATTATTATTTCTCTAATAAACCAATTTTAATGGCAGGTATCCCTCTCTGGTTCTATTTTCAACAACAACAACAACATACTTAATTGCTCGACTTATAGTTTACAGCTATTTTGCAAAGCTTTAAGAAGCAAGGACTTCTTTCTGGCTGAAAAAAAATTTACCAAAGGGACACAAATCCTTTGAATAAATAAATTGTCCTGAAATTTCGGCTTCTGCATCTGTTTTATATTTGTCTAAGAAAATAGTCCTTCCAAAATCGGTACGAATGCTTCACTTCCCTCTAAATCATTAAAGATTTGTTTCTGCTTTTAAGCTTACATAGACATTAGGTTACAGAAATACCACAGAAAACTGTTTGGCTTAAGCTGGCAGGGTAGGGTATTCATAAGAAGTTGTTAAGATATATTAGGAGTTCTTCTTGACACCTTCCAGTTCGATGTTGGACATGGGGCATTTGCTACCCTCAGTGTAGTCTGGTAATGAAAAATTATTAGGCATTTCTGGCCATCAGGCCAATCTGGGGAGCTCTCTAACCAAAGCTACAGTTTTATAAATTATGTGGCCACTTAGTCCTTCCTTAAGAGTCTTCAATGCCTCCATCAAATTTGTACATATAATTCCATACAAAGCAAAAATGTCGAAAAAAATATATACATAGACCACAAAGTATTTTGTTGCTGTTTTAATCCGTGAGTTATAGAGACAGTTATAAATTTGCGCATAATTCTAAGTTCTCTTTAGACCTACCGTCTAGGAATCATTTGATGAAAATGTATGAATATATCCGACACGTTACGAATTTCTTACAAGCCATAGTGTTGTTCTAAGTTATTTGGAAAATCAATAAACTGTCTCTGGTGGTCTAACTTTGGCGAACATTAACAAGTTCTCTCTCGCGAGTCGCGACTCAAATACCTAGGACCATGCTTCTTCACCAGACAGGCAGAGATAGCAGCGAGGGAACTTTGGGAATTGGCAAATTCAACGGAAATTGCACACGGAAATGGTTGGTCGATATTTTTTATCGATTTTGTTATCGATCTTTTTTTATCGATTTTGTTATCAATATTTTTATGGATTTTGTTGTCGATTTTTTTGTCGATATTTTTGTAGATTTTTTTAATCGATATTTTTTACCGACATTGCTATCGATTTTTCTACCGACATTTTTATCGAATTTGTTATCGATATTGTTATAGATACTTTTATCGATTTTGTTATCTAAACTTTTATCGATTTTGTTATCGATATCGCTTTTGATTTTGTTATCGATATTTTTATCGGATATTTTATCGATTTTGTTATAGATATTTCATCGATTTTGTTATCGATATTTTAATCCATTTTGTTATCCATATTTTTATCGGTTTTTCTATCGATATTTTGATGGATGTTACTATCGATTTTGTTATGGATAAAGTATACAGATAAAAGAAAACAGAATAACATAAATGTAATTAGAACGAATAATATAGAGGTAGGGATCTATGTACATAGATAGAAAAAAGACAAAAAATATAACCTTAGGAAAAAGCAGATGTACGTATGTATAGCATTTTAAGTTTAAATGAAACCATTTTAAAATTAAGCGAAACCATTTTCAAATTAAATTATACCTTTTTCAGGTTAAGCGAAACCATTTTCAAATTAAATGAAACCTTTTACAAATTAAATGTAACATTCTTAAAAGGAAGTTGAGAAAGGTTTCATTTAATTTGAAAAAGCTTTCGCTTTGCTTGAGATGGTTTCGTTTAATTTGAAAAAAGTTTCATTGAAACTGAAAATGCTATATATTGGTTATGAGATACATATCTAGTGAAGGTAACGTTATTTTCACTTCTCAAGTGTGGCCCAGGCGGACTTACTTTTTTATTCGTAAAGAGACTCTATTTTGGGTGAATTGGCCTTCCCCTTGCATTCACTCACAGAAAACACTCCCAATGGACAACTATGTATGTCTGCAAGTGAACATATAAAACTCTCTATACACATCATCTTAACCTAGCTTAATCTACTTATAAGTGTAGATTAAGCTAGGCTACGGCACTTATTTTGTAGGCCTCCAGATATACAAGCCATGAGTAATTAAACTTACCGAGAGGAGAGTTGCACAATTTACAAAAACTTAAGGTGATCCCAAAATGTATGCTTTTTAAATAACTACATACTACGTATTTTTACTTGAATCTACTCAATATTTCTTTGATCATACATTACTCTACTATAAACTAATTTTAATTGCTATACCCATTACCCCAAAAACTTTTATTCTCCTTTTATCTGTATCCACATGAACCCACCCTTTATTAAAAATGGGCCTCTGCTATTCAAATTTAACAAAATTCCATAGCGCCTTTGCAACTATTACAACAAGGATATTTGTGCAAGAGCCTACGCGTACAATATACAGCCAAATAAATTTGATTTTCTACACACACATACTATACAACATTTTATGCCTTTTGTCTCACGAAACTATATATTTTTTTTTTCGCTTGATGTTGCAGATGAAAATTGGGGCATGCCACTTGCCATAGCAGCGAACTTGCGTATACCGTATAAAATTGAAATTGGCGAGGATATACGTGATCTGCATGCACAGGACAAAATTGGTAAAGGTATGTATAGTGAATTTGAACTACTAAGAAATGGAAATATGTATCAAAAATTCGAGAGTAACTATAGTATGTGTGTACGATATTCGAAAAATAAAATAAATATATGTACGAGTATAGCACAATAATTTAAATATGTATACCATCATGAATATATATATACATAAATTTTACGGCAGTGTATTCGACTAAAGAGGATATTTCTTTTAATAACATCAAAATAAAAGAATTTTGGTTTCAAAACATTTTTAACTAAAGTAGCGCTCACACAATTTTTACATTTGTGAGTGGTGTTGTTTAGAAGTTTTAGTTCACGTCAATAAAAGAATTCCCGTAAAATACCACTATATTAATGCCAAAACCACATAAAACTGCAGGACCGGACGGGATAATACCTGCACAACTAACTAAGACACTGGATGTGCATGCGAAGTAGCTTTTATGTATTTACAAAGCCTGTTTCAAACTTAAACTAATACCGCTGACATGGAAAAATGTTTCGCCAAATGGCGAATAGGCCTCACATATTAACCCAAGGACCATAGGCCCATCAGCCGTTCCTCCTTTGTGTTTAAGACACTTCAAGTGATTGTTCTGACATCATCGACAGTCGTCTACTGTCTGTTGACCAATATGCTTACCGAAAAGGTTAATCTACAGAGACCGCGCTTGGTCGCTTATATCGAGGAGCTCCTTAGCGTTAAGAACCTCTGTCTCGTTGCTGTCTTGGATATTGAAGGCGCGTTGAACAACGTACTTCCGGAGGCTATTACAGGCGCGTGCGAAATGTCGAGTCTTGTGACGATGGGTACGCCCCAGGGAGGTTCTCTCCCCACTTTTGTGGGCCCTGACCATCAGCACACTTTTGCGTAGAACGAATGGGGGGGGGGAGAAAAAGTCGTTGCACACACCGATAACATTGCGATCGCTTTTAGTGGAAATTTTCTGCAAACGCTATGGGAGCCGATGCAGCGAATGCTTTGGGATGCATCTAAGTGGTCCACCCGCGGTGGCATAAGTGCACATGTCCAGTATGATCTGCATATGCAGAGCGCTCAGAACAACTCCACCTTACTTAGGGGCCTGGATATAGGGACTTAGTAGAGTGAAAACGGAACGGCAGAATAACTTTCAAGGCAAGGCACGACTAAGCAGATTCTTCCTGGTAAAGAACGCATTGGTATGCATTTTGACACTTACACGCTGCTACTTAGTGAATTTTTATACAAACAAGCAGAAGAAAGATGGAGTAAAATTACGACTTTTCGAATTTCCTGGCAGATGTGTCCTAATTGGGATCAGAAGCGGTCACGAAGGGTATGCTCTCTTAGAAGAGAGGGTATATCTAACGTTGTAGGGGCTCTAACCGGGCACTGTCTAATAGGTAAGCATGTAGAAAGGCTCGGCTTGCCTTTCCTAAGATGTTGCAGAAGCTACAAGGACTACGAAGAGGAGGAAACAGTCTTGCATCCCCTGTGTAAATGCCCTGCACTGTGTAGAAGCAGGCTGCGTCGGCTGCGGATTCACGGTTCTTTGCCGAACTTAGGGAAGTTTCGAATACTGACGTAAGTTGCCTGATAAAGTTCTTCAGCGATACGAAGTGGTTCAACATAGGGTGAATAATTGAACGGTGTCAAACTGTGGTAATACAATCGGCATGCTATCTATAGCCTAAGTGTACTCTTAACCCTCTCAGTACAAAAAATTACCTGCCAAAGCTAAAAATCTGAAAATTTGTTTACCGGCTGATTTTTCATCATTTATTTCAAAAATACAATCAAAAGTTTAGTTTTGATGTTATTCAGCGTCCATTATATTGAACCCTAGATTTGTACACAGGGAAGTGATATCAATAATTTTTCTTTCAAAACAGGGAAAAACATTTAACATTTTTTTCGGATCGCAATTCCCACGAAAAATAGTTAGTTTGCTCCTATATATGACAGTATTTAATATCGACATTTGTACCACTTTCCACTTTTGTGAATAAACACGGTCAACTACATTCCGAAAATACATTGAAAGCAATTCGGTAAATAAGAATATCGAGACCCTCTATGTGCGATTTTCACGAAAACTACTTTGTGATGTTAGAACCCATCTGGGACTTACCTATCATCACTGATGTTAATTCTGACTTTGCAATTTAATAGTAAGTTCTTCAGTCAAGCATTATATTTTATATCAGTAATATTAAGCTCTCTTGTGTTTTACATTCTTATACAAAAACCACGAAAGCTCGCTGTTTAAGCCAGAATTTCAAAAACTAAAAATTCATTAAACTGTTTTGGGATTAATATCTTCGTGGCTACAAAAGAATTAGCTCTACTTTTGAGATACATAAGACATGTTCCAAAAAGCAGCATAAATTTATTAAAAGCACACAAAACTTGACCTCTGTTATCTAATTAGAAATTTAAAAAAATTATATTTTTCCTCTTTATCTCTCTATCTTCTCTATTCAAATTGCGCGCGCCTTACNACTAAGAATTCATTAAACTGTTTTGGGATTAATATCTTCGTGGCTACAAAAGAATTAGCTCTACTTTTGAGATACATAAGACATGTTCCAAAAAGCAGCATAAATTTATTAAAAGCACACAAAACTTGACCTCTGTTATCTAATTAGAAATTTAAAAAAATTAAATTTTTCCTCTTTATCTCTCTATCTTCTATTCAAATTGCGCGCGCCTTATCCATCAACTTTTCTCCTACGTCTCTGCGACAGCCATCATCATCACAGCGGACATGAACGATGCCAGCACTTTGCATTTGCTGACGCAGCTGGTCGGCCTACGCCACACCAAAGTGCTGCTCATCGATGTGGTGGCCACCTCCTTCAATGCGGAGAATAATTTCTACAAAAATTTGGCGCGCATTAATGCCAGCTCTGAACTGATGTCCAACCTCTTGTTGCTCACTGTGTTGAGCGATAAGTACCGTCACTTTCTAAAGGTCGCCTTCGAAGATAATGGCATTGGGTTGGTGCAGAATTTCCGACAAATACGACGTTGGAAGGCGATGAGCAGTGAAGGCAAGCTGGGTGTTGGGGTCACCGAAGCAGCCGCTCTAAACTGGCCCATACACTTGGATAGCTCAGTGACGCGCGCCTTGCAGGAGCATGAAGATGCTATGGCCGCTGAGACGATAGATGGCAGTAGTAGTGATAAAGCAACAACCCGCACCACAACTGTGCGCCCGACGCGTGACACTTTGGCTGCCTTCGATGAATGCCCACAGCTGAGTGGCCTCAACTTTGTTGAGATTTGTCCGAATATCGAGAATGTGACGCGACATTGCGTCGATTTTATGTACAAGCTACGCAAACACAATATCAAGCGCAATGGCACGCTGCTGCAACAGTTACGGACATTGCTGAAGCAACTTTGCCACATACATCCGGTCACCGGATATACGAGCGCAGAGCAAGCGCGCATTGCTAGTTTGCGGAATTTTATTGACTTTTTTCATTTTTACGATTTTATAATTACCAATGTGCGGCAACAGCTAGAAGAAACAGCGTCGAAACAAATTCCAAAAACAACAAAACCGATAAGCGAACAAGCCACACAGCAACAAAAGCAAAATGGAAACGGAAATGCCAGCGGCGGTGGCAGTGGCAGCGCGACAAAAACCGGGAATGTCAATGCGAAAATGCCTAAATATGATTTTATTGTGTTGGATGTGGTGCGCGATAGTGCGATTGGCAACAACAACAATGGTTACAACAAAAGCAACGGCGGCGCTAATACTAGCAGTGTGGGTAGTACGAATACAGCAACAATTGACTTCAATGGTCGTGTCAATGTTGTCGCCAATTCAGCATCAGCGGATGTGAGGTCGACAGCGTCAACTGATTCTATCAAATGGCGCCCATTGTTGATTTTGGAGCAACATGAAATCAATTTAAACACTTATATTACACATTCCATTCAGCCGGGCTACGACGAGTGGTTGCTGGTGAGCACAGCACAGCTTTGGCAATGTGGCGCTATCTGCTGGACAATTGTGGCCATTTGCATTGGATTGCTGTTGATCATTGTGGCGGCGAGCGTAGCGGCGGGCATTGCAATGAGGTAAGTACTAACTATAGAGTGAGTTTAATGAATGAAAAATAAAAACGGCTATATCTTATGTGATGAGTATGCAGAAGTTTGATATTAGTAAAATTTTATGCTATTCAGCTGAATTTAGCACTAAATTATATAGTACCGGGTGATTTTTTAAGAGCTTGATACCTTTTTTTTTTAAAAAAACGCATAAAATTTGCAAAACTCATCGGTTCTTTATTTGAAACGTTAGATTGGTCCATGACATTTACTTTTTGAAGATAATTTCATTTAAATGTTGACCGCGGCTGCGTCTTAGGTGGTCCATTCGGAAAGTCCAATTTTGGGCAACTTTTTCGAGCATTTCGGCCGGAATAGCCCGAATTTCTTCGGAAATGTTGTCTTCCAAAGCTGGAATAGTTGCTGGCTTATTTCTGTAGACTTTAGACTTGACGTAGCCCCACAAAAAATAGTCTAAAGGCGTCAAATCGCATGATCTTGGTGGCCAACTTACCGGTCCATTTCTTGAGATGAATTGTTCTCCGAAGTTTTCCCTCAAAATGGCCATAGAATCGCGAGCTGTGTGGCATGTAGCGCCATCTTGTTGAAACCACATGTCAACCAAGTTCAGTTCTTCCATTTTTGGCAACAAAAAGTTTGTTAGCATCGAACGATAGCGATCGCCATTCACCGTAATACAGTTATAAAGCAGTGAATTGTGAGAGTAAATGCCGTTTTTTGGCAATTCAGCTTAATTCAGCAGCAACTTTTTTTGACGTGAGTTGGTTTTCTATTTGCTGCATACTCACCAAAGTAATATTTAGTGTAACCTAGACCTACTTCACACAATTCAGCTTTTATTCAGCAAATTTTTTATGTAAATTTGCTAATAAGATAGTGAAAACCAAAAAAGTTGTAGGATTGGTATAGAGAATTTATTAGAATAGTTCATTCAGCAATTGAAAGGGTGAGATGGTATCAAGATATATTTGATAAACCATGCTTGCTGAATATGCAAAAAGTACACATTTGTCGTTGGCGGGCAATAGAACTAAATATGTTCGGTAATAAGTTCAACTCAGCTTTTAATATATTTTTTTTTAATATATATTTAAATCATCCGTTTTTTTATTTAAATCAGTATTCGTGAATGCCTTCAGCCATTCAGCTAAATTTTGCTTTCATAATTTTAACAACGTAAATAGATGTGGTTCTTAAATAGGTAGCAGCACGAAGCTTGTATTCAGCGTACTTCAACAGCGTTCAAATATTAACTTAAATGCCTTCTTTCAGGCTAAGTTCTCTTTTCATTGCTTATTCAGCTGAATTCATCTTACAAAAAGATATAAAAACTATAATTAAAAACACCATTCATTTTTATTTAACTCTTGCACCAACGGGATGTATTCAGCAAATTTACTTGTAGGATAGTTTCAGTTAAGCCAGCAGTAGGTGGCAAATTCATATTTATTTAAGTACTCATATATTATTCAGCTCGTTTTTATTTCATTTTTATCACCAGCGGAATGTATTCAGCACAATTACTTGTGAGTAAATTTCCATCAGCTAGCACAAAGTTCACATTAATTTAAATATTTATATATTATTCAGCAAATTCAGCTCATTTTTATGGCCTTTTTCAGCGTTTGAGCACATTTACCTGTAGTACAATTTCAATTAAGCTAGCAGTAAGCAGTAAGTTCTAATTAATTTAAGTATTTATATATTGTTCAGCGTATTCAGATGATATTTATTTAAAGTTTTTCAGCAGCGGAATGTATTCAGCACATTTATTTTTAGGATAATTGCCATTCAGCTAGCAGTAAGCAGTAAATTCACATTGATTTAAGCATTTGTATATTATTTGGCGTAAGTCAGCTCATTTTTAGCCCTTTTTCACCATTTTAATGTATTCAGAATATATTTACTTGCAAGATAATTTCAATTCAGCTAGCAATAATCAGTAAATTATTATTTTGTTTTAATTTTTCCGCCGGCGAAATATATTCAGCACATTTCCTTTTAGGATAGTTTGAATTTAAGTAGCGGTAAGCATTAAATTCATATAAATTTAAGCATTTATATATTATTCAGCGTAATTCAGCATAGTTTTATTTCAGTTTTTCACCAGCGAAATCTATTCAGCACACTTACTTGTGAGATAATTTCAACTGAGTTAGCAGAGAGCAGTAAATTCATATAAATTTATCCATTTATATATCATTAAGCGTAATTCAGCTCAATTTTATTTAAATCTTTTCACCTGCTGAATGCTTTTCGCGCTATGACTTTAAATATATTTCTCATTCAGCTTGCTTTTGACAGCAAATTCGTTGTTAATACAGCATTTATATTTTATTCAGCGTATTTCAGCTCCTTCTCCCAAAAAAAAATATTCTGCTCGGTAATTAATCAACTATTTGGTAATCAGCTCTACTTATGTCAAGTGTTTGAAAATAATGCAGATGTTTTACACTGCAATTCATTATGCCACTTGATTAACCACAAATTCACCACCATAAATTTCGCCTCATTAAAAGACTAGGAAATTAAATGGAACTACCAACAATTAAATATATTATTACTCGTGCAAATAAATACACTTTTATGTTATCGATGTCTGACTAATTAATCTAATGAGCAGTCAGCCAATGCACTGTATTGGAGAGGCGTAAGTGGCAAGTGCCTAGCCAAGGGCAACACACGAATAAAGTATTTTTGAAAAGAGTAACTGATAGGCATCGCCGTCCCATCGACATCAACTCTCCTTTACAGAGAAATAGATGTATGTAGGTACATATGTATGGATTTTCCCATAAGCCCGCTTGCATCTTGCAAAGTTGGACATACATACAGACATACGTAAGCATTTTTTTATAAGAAGTTGAGTTATTTTTCACAGCTAAGCGCTTTCTTGCTCATACCTAGCGTGTTGCTGTACTCTCACACTTATTTGGCCAATTTGGCAAACTTTGAAGGAAAACTTTATTTTCGCGTACTTTTAACTGCCTGCCTTATAAGTGCCTATTCGTAAATATGTATTTAAGCTGATTTGGCACTTTCGTTTCAATTATAATTAGTAACGCTTTGAATGCCATATTGATTTTTCGACAGCACGCACAGAGATTTACCTACTTAACTTGTGTATCTCTTGAGTGCTTCTTGCCAAAATTCTACAATGGTGGTGCCAATTTCGCGCTAAATTCGAGCCTGCTATATCAACTTAGTATTCGAAAATTCTATACGTACAGGCACTGTTAGGTAATGCATTACTTGCGCTACAAATCGTAATGCATTTCTTAGAATAAAAATTTTATTTTTCTTTGGTAACTTTGACCCGCTGCGGCATAGTTCTGAGAAATGTTCAATTTAATTAAGTTTAAGTATTTGCCATTAATGTTCGGGATTATTCAACCCAACTGCTTTAATCGAAGCGCAGCATGTATTTATACGGGAAACAGAAAAATCATGGAAATGGTTTTGTATTATCGCACCGCTTTAAGGACGCTCTTTTCGCGAAGAAGCGAATATACTTATTAATTTCTTTCTGCAAATGACAATGACAGGAATCTAGATCACGACTTATAATATAGTTTCCGATGTCGTTGATTACGAATCTGAAGTCATTTTTTTCAATCAATATGAATGAAGAATTTTTAAACATTTAGCGGACTCACTTAGAGTTTGTTACTCAGGGGGTTTCGAGCTCGCTGATTATGAATCGGAGGCCAGATTGAAAAAATTCAATATGGCGGACCCTATATAACGGACAAAAAATCAAAACCGATTGAATTCGCTTAAAAACTTACAATTAAGGGTATTTAACAGGGAGTAAAATAATTTTAATCAGCATTTAATCATTATTTCATGATTTTTATTTGTTTCGCTTAAATATAATAATCGACGGAAATAATTATTTTTTTGATTTTAATTTTTTCGCTCGACAGAAATAATTATTTTTTTGATTTTCATTTTTTCGCTTAGAGATAATAATTATTATTGAGTCTTATTTTGTTGTTTGTTTGTTGATTTTTTTATTAAAATTTAAAAAATAATAATTATTTTCCAACCCTAGTGTTTAAGGACGCTCATTATGAATCTGAAATTAGATTTTGAAAATTCAAAATGGGCGGTTCCATATTTGGTCTACCATTTATCATTGTAAAATCATTAAAATCAAACGTAAGTACATGGCGTATGGGTAACATTCTCATCTCGTCTGTTGTAGTTCGGTACCATTTTATGACTAATTCGAAATTCACCGAAAATTGGCAAACTTTCTTTTTAAGCGAACTAAAAGGTTAAATTTTTGCGCTGAAAGTCGGCTCCAGCATTGGGCCTCCTTTAGGCTTTCTTTCATCCTTTATGAGGATAACCTATACAACTTAGAATAATATATTTGTTCCATATGTTATACTTATATATATTTTTTTTTGTTATTTTGAGCAAATTTAACTACGTACATACTTAAGTAAGTATATAAATCTTCATAAATATCTCCACACTGAAGCCTTTAATATTTACGATAGTATTTTTTTTTATACTAAGTATGGCTCTCTATTTTTAACCTAGAGCATAAACTAATCTGCATATGCAAAATTAATTTACAATAAAAAATATGCAATAATTTACAAAGCTGTATGAAATATTGTTTCCAGCAGCAATACTACTTACTAACAAAATAAACTTGAATGGCAAATATCTTTAAGTGAATCAATTAAAGTACAAAGCGCAGATTTACAGCGTGATCCCTCTGCTATTATTTTGAAAATAAAATAAAAAAGCAATCATTAAATTTCGCGCCGCATAATGTACATATATATATATATGTATGTATACAAATACACAACCATGCCACCAGTGCATATGATGCCTTCGTTTAGCAAACACGCATGCACTATGTAGGAGTATTTCCACATATATATGTACATATGTACATATGTACGTGTAGTAACGCTCGCAGTGTAGAAACTGGCAGTAAAACTCTGTTTAATTGCCAACAAAAATGCACATTTAGTGCAATTCGTGGTTATGGTTTTGCAGCTTGCAGCTATTCAACGCATTTGTAACACAATTCAGGGATAACTTAACTAGCTTCCCTTGGTATTAAAAAGTTTTTAGTTTTCAACGCTATTTGAAACTTTTGAATAGCTAACAAGAGACGTTACACAATTTTAAAGCAGAGACAAAAAATTGTCTTACTAAGTTTAATCAAAAATTCGTACTCTTACCGAAGTTTGTAAAACCTTAACAGCAGCTACCTTCATTTTGAAGGCGCACAAGCCTCGGGTATTTTCTCATAAAAGACATGGCGAAAGTCTTGAATCACACACATGCGAGAGTTATGAAGATCGGACTGTGAAGAGCAACCTATTCTTTCAACAACCTAGCGAATCTACTGAAACTGCCATTCATAGTCCCCCTACAAAAACTGAAAAGGCTCTGAAGTATGAAGAAAAAGCTATTTGTGCCCTTATGGACATTTCAGGAGCTTTTAGCAACATGTCTTATAACTAACGGAAATCTTGTACTTACTTATGAGTAATAATAATAATAATATTTTGGCGCTTACATATATGTTAGTGTTTGGCCGAGCTTCTCCTCCGATTCGTGGCGTGCGCCTTGAGGTTGTCACACAAAGGGGGAGGGCCCTCCCACCTAGAATATGGATTTAATGAAAAGCTTTTTTTAAGGCAAAAAGCTGCTCTCGCTAGGGATCGAACTGAGGTCGCACGGTGTGGTAGTACGCACCACTAACCACTCAGCTACAGCGACTGCATTGCTGTGTATCAATTAAACTCGCTAAAACTGCTATCGTAAAATTTGGTTTGTTGCTTGATTTAAGTGGCTTGGTACCCTGCGGAGAGACAAGGAGTAAGTTTTGCCATTCTGATTCCACTACTCGTGCAACCTACAACCATTTGGCGGCTTTAATGAATCTCAGCACCTGATGCGGGGAGAGACAGCTGCACCTATGAAATATTCTGCTGGAAACCCACGCAGAAAGTGTTCCATTGTCTCTTTTGAACCGGGTACTCGAAGCTGCTATCAGAATCTATAGATGGGTAAGGCAATCCTTTCGGCATTTACCCCAACGAGCCAGTGCCCTCTGAAGACTTTCGAGAGTTTCTAGGTATTTTCTTTGCTCATTCACAAAATTACCTCATTTTAAGTGGGTCATAGGACAGACGGAACTGCCGAGTAATAGTCGAGTCTAGTCTTCGAGTGATAAGTTTCGGCAAGTCATCCTTTTAACTCCCTGAGCCGCTCATCGCTAGTTCGTCCGCTGTTGGGTTTCTGAAAATTTTTCATCCTGGAAAACGTTTACATGATCTGATAGGTGGAATGATGGCTTTTTCTTATATTGCTCAATGAGGGATTGAACAATGCCCTGACAGTTTTTTCATCCAGAGCCCCAAGGCACGCAGTCTGATGTAGTTTTTTAACTATATAATACATATTAAGGGTTGGTCACGAAATTAGCGCCCCATAAGAGAGCATTTATATTGACACTTACTAAGAGGAAAAGTTATCTATGACTGATTTCAACCTCAGTCGAACAAACAGATGTATTTCTATTTGGTTAAAATTCCTTGGGGCAACTTTTGAACGCACATCTATCTTTGTTTGCTCTGGGAACCTAAATTTTATTTTGATAGAGTGACGCGTCACTCAACTTTAATCATATTAAAAGCTGAAATAAGTCGTGCAGTGCGATTAGCTCGATGAAGAAATGAAATTTATTTCTTCTGCCACCATGAGCTATGTAAATATCCTTCAATAGATATTTTCCGCGCTCTTTCTCCAGCACTTCCAATGCGTCTTCAAACAAAAAGTTTCATTCGCAAATCACAGCGAACTCAAAACCTAAAACAAAAGTCCCTGATTTAGACTTAATTCAGCAATTCAGCGCAATTAAAATTCTATTCAGCAACTACTTTTTCGCGCAAGAATTTCACTGCGGTATCATTGCCAGCACATTTTGATCAACAACCATATCACCGTACAGCAGCCGCAATTTAACGGCACCCGCGCCATAAAGGGGACCACTAAATGAGAACAAACTTCTGTGTAATGAGTACCAAACTACTGCATGTATTTATTCCTATGTATAGGAGTTAAGAGCCTGTCAGACGTGGCAATATTTCCGTCTTTCGCACGCAATTCGCTGTCAAATTGAGAAAGAGAAATTTTATTTCGATGTGTGAACAGCCAGAAAGATCTTTCTGTCACCTTTCGGAAATCAGTTTCAGAAATAAAAGTTGCAAGGTGGGACTGCAACTGCAAGAGCGAAAATCGATTTCGGAAATATATTTCAACTTGCTCGTGCTGCACTAGCAATTTTTATTTCTTCTGCAAGTGCTGTCAAACTAATCGAGTGTTGCCGTGTGGCCCTGATCGTGAATTTGTGTAAAATGATAAAAAATATTGTTGAATTAAATATCAAAAATGCTTGAAATATATTATTTTGCTTAATATAATTAATCGTTAAATTATTGTTTACACGACAAATATGTTAATTATAACCTATATTTTCTCGCTTTTACAAGAGAAATAGCAAACAAACGACAACCTAACCGCTCATGGTTGCATTTTAGTATCGAGAAAGATTGCCAGAAACTCATTCGCTGTGTGAACAGCCAAAAAGCGATTTCAGAAATTTTTCCTGCAATTCGCCGTTCGGAAATAAAAACCTCTTTCGAAAGACACTTTCCATGCAAGGTGTGACTGCTCATGCAACTGATTTCTCAATTTGACAGCCTTTCCGAAATTTATTGCATCGAAATATATTGCCACGTCTGACACGCTCTTTAGATTGCACGCATCTGCATCAGAAAAAAAAGAGAAAACAACAAAACTTTTGACTACCACGCGCTACAAAGCAAACTCGGCGAAAGTTCAGCGTCACACAAGCTGTAGAGAGAGAAGTAGGTTTGTATGTATGTAGTTAGCACGAGTAGTTTTGCTATGAAATCCCGGAGGGTAGTGTGCGAAGTTTAAGCAGACAAAGCGCCCAAGTTAATGACAAATTTGCTGCTATTGCTGCGCTGCTGATCTGCAGAGGGTCGGTCGGTCTACCACACTGAATTATTATAAAGTACATAGTTGAGCGTGAAACTTTAGCGTAGCTCATTAATAAAGTTCCACAGCTTTAACTGCGGTTATTTTAACTTATTATGAGTGGATGTTGTTGTTGTTGCGCGTAGTGTTATTTTTTATATGCATCCCCACACAGACGCATACACTCAGTATGCCTGCAAATGACAGGTTAATACACAAGTGGATCTCATTTTCAGTTCATCACAGCCGCCAACGGCAATAATACTCGTATTCGCTCATAGCTCTCAAGTTAATGGTATTTTTTAAGAGCTTTCTCTATTTACGGCGTACATAAGAAGAAAAAAATAATAATTTGCGGCTTTAACTTTTCTGTTTTAGTACACAAATTTTCGTACTAATTATCCCACTTATGCTGGTTTACTTTCAGGAATTACTTGCTGCGTAAGCGCCTCTCGAAAGGACCTAACAAAATTGTGCTATCCGCTGATGACTTTGTCTTCCCAGTCGATTCGCGTAGGGTAAGTGGCGTTGATTTTGTAGTTGTTTTATTGTAGCATAAAATGCTCGTAAGAGAGTAAAGATTGTGGTTACTTAGCTGACCTACGAAATGGTTTTATTACAACTTAAGAGACGCTAGTTGTAAAAAAGATATTTGTGCATAGAAGTGTTCGTATTTAACGATTGCCGTAAATTTAAATGAAAGTGCATACTTAAACAATTATTTGCGGTGTTTCATGAAACAGGCCGAAGAAGAAGAATGATGATTTGTAGTTAAGAGGTTTTTGATGCCAATCCACTGTGGGATAAATCACGAAAAGTCAGGCTATATATAGTAGACAGTAGTCTAGAGGCTTAAAATTTGGAACACAAGCTTCTTTAGTGAATATAAGTATGAGGTGTTAATATAAAAAAAATCCACCCACAAATGCGCCAATTTTCATATAACGGTATTTTTTATAAACTCAAAGTATTATATTTGGAAAGCTCTAGCAAAGAAACAAAAGGTAACAAAATCTTACACTGGGCTTAAATTAAAGCTAAAACTATTGAAAACTGTCTCTGAAAGCACCATCTCTGCATCTTGATCCAAAGGTTAGTTATAGTCATTAATTGAACAGCAAAAACTGTTTTTGGGATTTCTTTTTCAATAGCACCATTTTCCAGTATTTTTTTGTTGTTCAATAAATGACTATAAGTGATTATCAGGTCAAGTGCAGGACTGTATTTTTAGGGATAGTAGTCGAGAGTTCTAGCTTTATTTTATACCTAAGCGGAATGTTCTGTCAACTTCTCTTTCTTTGCTAGAGCTTCTGAAATATGGCAAAAAACGCGATTTTCTGACATTTTGAACTGGTTTTTCTCAAAATCTTGACCAAATGGAAGCTTTATACTTACGGACTCATAATTAGCACAAATAGGTCTATCAAAAACAGCTTTAACATTTGCCGCACAAAAATCAGTGTTGCCCAATACCCAACAAAAATGTTAGCGCCTAATTTCTTTCTCCGCACTCAATTACAGACAGCAATATTAGTATTAAATTAAAAAATTAAATAATTCGGAGAAATTCATATCCATTCATCCGCTAACATACTGCTATCGAACCTTTTTTAACGGTAAAAATTCTAAATAACAGAATCTTTTCCGTTCAGGTCGATGAGGGCATCGAAGCGATGCTCTGCTGTTGGCTACAGCAGCTACAGGAGTTTGGTGGCCCTGAAGTGGATAAACCCGATTTGCTCAAAGGTTCAATTGGGTCGTTAAAAAATCTTGGCCTCATCATACCAGGCGGCGGTACGGCAACCGCCACTGGCGCTGGTACAACAACGGCAAATGGCGGTAAAGGTACATCGGGCAGCAATAGCTTGGCGCGCCATAATCCTGCGCTGCTGGATATGCGCGCACGCTACAATGGCGATTTGGTGCAGCTTAAAGAGATACCCTTGAATGGCTCAACAGAGTTGAAGGCCAAAGCAATGGACTTGCTTGTGCTGGCGCATGGCATGCGACATGAGAACATTAACCCCTTAATTGGTACGTAATAAATACTTTTAGCAGCGGCGCGTTTAATTAAAGGTTATTTTGTGAAAACTTTTTCTTATTCACTTCCCTTCCGCTGTCATACAATTAGGTTGGCTATCCGACCCAAATCGCACTGCCATGGTGTTCGATTACTGCTCACGCGGCTCACTGCAAGATGTGCTCATCATGGACGAAATCAAATTGGATTGGAGTTTCCGTCTCAGCCTGCTGACGGATTTGGTGCGTGGCATGCGCTACTTGCACACCTCAGCGCTGCGCGTTCATGGCACATTAACGTCTCGTAATTGTGTGGTGGACGCGCGTTGGGTGCTAAAAATAACTGATTATGGGCTCGCCACATTCTACGAAGCGCAAGGCTTACTGCCACCCACACGCACCGCCAAGGAACTGCTGTGGACAGCGCCGGAATTGTTGCGCACAATGAAGACCCATCATCATCACCATGGGCGCGTATTGGGCACACAAATGGGTGATGTCTACTCGTTTGGCATTATCATGCAGGAGGTGGTGGTGCGCGGTGAGCCCTATTGTATGCTGTCGCTGTCGCCGGATGAGATAATAGCGAAGATTAAAAAGCCACCGCCGCTGATACGACCCTCCGTATCGAAGGGTGCCGCACCGCCCGAAGCTATCAATATTATGCGTCAATGCTGGGCTGAGCAGCCGGACATGCGACCGGACTTTAATTCGTGAGTATTGCACAGCTAGAAGTCTATTTACTGGCTGTCTATATTTATTGTTAATGCGCCTATCACGCGAATGCGGAACGATGGGCATACATATACATAAATATATATGCGATGTGGTGTTTTGCGTTGAACATACATACATACATACATACATAGTTACGTATGTGCATATAAACCTATTGATTTAAGGGTATTTTCTGCTTTACTCTTTATTTACTTTTCCGTTCCGTAATCTATCTACGGCGTTGACGTATTGTGCCTGCTGGCTATTGGTGACAACCTTAATGACTTCGCCAATGATGTGCTATTGATAAAATGTGTCTGCTCGCTGTTAACTTTTGACAGCGTTTACGAGCGTTTTAAGATGCTCAATCATGGTCGCAAGGTGAATTTCGTAGATACAATGTTTCAAATGCTCGAAAAGTACTCGAATAATTTGGAGGAGTTGATACGAGAGCGCACCGATCAGCTGGATATTGAAAGGAAGAAAACTGAACAGTTGTTAAATCGCATGCTGCCGAGGTAAGTATTGATTTTGAGGAATTTTAGCAATAAAAATACAAATGTACTTGTATGTACACTAGAGATGCACATAACCAATGGACCGGAACCAGAAAACCGGGTTCTTTAAAGAGCCGAAACTCGATTCAAAAAGAACCGTACGACGGTTTCGTAAGATTCGTAACTCGATTCTAAAATACCCGAAAACCGGTTCCGAAAGAACCGAAACTCGACTGCAAAAGACCCAAAAACTCGATTCCAAAAGAATCGAAACCCTTTTCCAAAAGCTCCGAAAAACGGTTCCAGAAAAACCAGAAAATGATCTCAGAATAACCGAAAAATAAGTAAAAAGGACTGAAAAACCATTCCAAAAGAACCGAAAGCGATATGTATTATGGAGTTCTGAGTTGATCTACCAAATTTTGTTCGTTTCGAGGCACTATATCATATAGCCGCCATATACCCGATCTGGCCGACTTACATTCACTTTGTTGTTTTTCATGCTATCAACTTGAGATTCTGTTTGTATTCATATTCAGCCTTATCATGAGCTCCATTTTCCCCCGAAACGGTTCACTTTTCACTTTTTGTTTCCATGTATTTACTATGGGCGGAATAAAAATTTTTGGGTGAATTTTCTTTCGGGCGAAACTCAGGATTAGGCAGATTATGAAGTTCTGAGTTGACCTACAAAGTGTTTTCCTTTGACTTCAATATTATGCGGCAAACAGAGATTTGAATGCATGAAAAGAGCAGCGACAACATCGAAAAAAACATGTTCGAAAACGTGCATTTAAATTCAATTTCCTTACTTTACTTTACTTTGTAACAAAAATATGCAGAGAAATTTAATTTTTGCAAAAACTTTTTAAAATGATTTGTAAGGCTATTTCGGTAGGGCCTCACATCACTAATAAACACACATATTGACAACTTTTAACAATTTATTTTTTGTTATTTAATTCTAGTTATTTTTTTATAGAAATATAATTTATTCTGAAAAATCCGTAAAACTTTTCGCAAAAATTTGCAACGATTTAATTAGGTCCCTTAGAAATATTTTGAGTATGCGGTTTTACAGCCCATTGAATTGTAATAAAATGCAAGTTTGAAGCAGCTGGGACCGTTAATTTTTGGCAATTTTTTGTGATTTTTCGATAAGAATAATAAATATGGATACCAGCTGTTAAAAGTTCACTCTAACGCTGGATTTCCACTAAGCACTAAATGGCGAAAATTGTAATGAGTAGTCATTGAATTCATTTCCACATGGCATATTTTCAATGCCTCCATTTTTTTGTAATTTCAATGCCTAGTGAAAATTTGACATAAGTCTTCGTCCTCTGAATCCGATAAATAAGAATCGTCATAAATCAAAGGTATCTAGTAGGCGTATATGGCTCATTAATGGATTGAGTTAGGTTACTCATACTGTAACCGTTAAGAAGTCCACATAGTTAAAATTATCAAATCAAATTGTCAAATGTACCCTGAAATGGTTTTCGAGGCTGCACAATGGCAAATGAAGTGCTTAATACTCCCATCCTTTGCTAGTCCTGCATCTATGCCTACGCAGTATTTTGCAGGGTATCCCATTTGCGTCGTATACGGAAAACAGCCGAAGCACATTGTTCAACTTGCACTGCTCTGATAAAGAGATGAGCAAAGGGGATAGGATATTTGTTTACCTGAAATATCTTCAAACCTGCTAATGGACCGTGTCGAGATTGACAAAGCGCGACTCCCCAGGACCATGTTACCTTAAAAATGGAAAGATATACATAGCCCCCGTCTTCTCTCTATAGAGCTACGCTCTTGCTGGGTTACTTTCCCAACAGATGGCTTGAGGCTAAGATCGTGTTTATACCAAAAATGGGTAAGCCGGACCATGGTTATGAACGAACTCCTTTTCACACTGAACAGCCAAGGCTTTGAGACGCAAGGCTATGCAGATGATCTGGTCATCTTGTGTAACAGGGCTACATGACGACCACCGCTTGCAACAATTCTTACGCATCACTTGAAAACGGTGTGAAGATAAGGACTAATATTGTTCCATTTACTCGCAGGAGGAAATTATCTGCGACTAAACTCACTTAGAGCGGAACAAGAATAGAATTTTCCAGTGAAGCTAAGTATCTAGGGGTAACTCTTGATAAAACACTCAACTGAAATACAAATTTGGACACTGTTATCAACAAGGCTATTCATGTGTCTTTGGTAAAACATGGGACCTTTCTTCCAACACAGTGGATGGAATTTCCAGGGCACATAATCTGTTCTTCAAAATAAGCTTCAAATAAATTAATCAATTTACGCAGGGATACTGATCCCTTCGCAGTGAAATTATTCTCTCAGAAACAAACGTCTGTCGCATTTTTGAGCTGCACGAAGAAACGCCAGAACACATTCTGTGTGAATGTAACGCCTTCGCATTTTGCAATGAGAGAGTACACAATCCACTGACATCTTATTACCATAATTCTTTTACATTTGCAGTTCAGTGGCGGAAAAACTGAAAATGGGCTTAGCTGTCGAACCGGAGGAGTTTTCCGATGTGACGATATATTTTAGCGACATCGTTGGTTTTACAACGATTGCTGCACACTGCAGTCCCGTGCAGGTTGTCGATCTACTAAATGATCTCTATACCATATTTGATGCGACTATCAATGCATACAATGTGTATAAGGTGAGTTTGTGGATTTAAAACTAGAAGGAAAATCCAATCTTGTCTTATCTATATACTTAAATGAACGCCCTTTTTCTGACCTTTCCTTAGGTGGAGACAATAGGCGATGCGTATATGGTGGTCAGTGGCTTGCCGGTCAAAATACCCGATCATGCAGAACAAATCGCTACAATGGCTTTAGATTTGCTACACCAAAGTGGCCGCTTTAATGTGAAACATTTGCCAGGTGTGCCACTACAGTTGCGTATAGGATTGCATACAGGGCCCTGCTGTGCAGGCGTGGTGGGGCTAACTATGCCGCGTTATTGTCTATTTGGCGATACGGTGAACACGGCATCGCGCATGGAGTCTACGGGTAAGAATCGATGCACCAAAGCGTGCTGGGTTTTGGTAAAGTAGTGAGGAAATTTTTTTTTGTATCTGTAGGCTCCTCTTGGCGCATACACATGTCGCAGGAGACGCGCGATCGTTTGGAAGCACGTGGCGGCTATGCGATAGAGCCACGTGGGTTGATCGATATTAAAGGCAAAGGGATGATGAACACTTTTTGGCTGCTGGGCAAGAAGGGATTTGATAAACCGCTACCTACACCACCGCCGATTGGGTAAGTCTTTGAACTACATAATTTTCAAAGCAACGAAGAGATCTTTATAACTAACTTAATTGACCATGTATTTTTTTAACAATATAATGCTTTCATAGTGAATCACATGGGTGAGTTTAGTGAGAAAAGCCAAAAAGTATTTTTACACACTTTCTCTCGCACTTTAGTTAATACTCTAACATTCCCTTTTCCCCCATATATTATTGCAGCCTCGATGAGTCGCTCATACGCAACTCAATTACACTCAAAGCACAAGCGAATAAATCACGCAACAGCACCAACCNGGGTGAGTTTAGTGAGAAAAGCCAAAAAGTATTTTTACACACTTTCTCTCACACTTTCTCTCGCTAAAGCTAAAGTAAAGTAAATACTCTAACATTCCCTTTTCCCCATCTATTGCAGCCTCGATGAGTCGCTCATACGCAACTCAATTACACTCAAAGCACAAGCGAATAAATCACGCAACAGCACCAACGCGTCTTCGAGTCAGTCTTCCTCGCTGGCCGGCGAATCGGTCGAGGTGAAAGTGGAGATCACTCCACCCACCAATGCGGATGTTTGTTCATCGAACTTGCCAAACTCCTACTCGCTCGACTCCACCTCGACCAACACGATCAGCCCAAATATCACGCTCTGTCCCGAATTCCCCACCAAAACGCCCAACGCCAGTCCGCAATCGCGCAAGATGTCCGAACTCCCGCCCGACAACCTGCTCACGCCCAGCACTTTTAATCGCCTTCCCAGCTCCGCAGGCGGTTCTTCGTCACGTCTGTATAAAAAAATTGAGGAGATGATGGACCTCAGTTCACCTTACAATCACTACAAATGCCTCAGCCCCAGCGAAAGCAACCTCACGCAATTTTACGATGCCAAATATCTCTACAGTAGCGTCGGTGTTTGCAGCGCCGTCGTTGGGGGTAGTGGTGGTGGTAGTGGCTCTGGCGGTGGTAGCGTACACAGCAGTAGCGTAAAGTTCGATTCAAAGCCCGGCTCAAGTCGTCTACTGCGCCGTCAATTTAGTCTCGATCGTGACGATACGCAATCGAAATTGGATCATCATCATCACCATCAACATCATCAAAGTTCACTACAAGTCACACACACAATGTCGCTCTCGAATAAGTCCTCCATGCTGGACATACCCATTTTGCATGACACCTCACGCAGTCCGAAGGGTACGCTCACACGTGCGCACAAACAGAATTCGACTTCGATTACACAAGATCTTGAAAAAATTGAAGAGATACCACTTTCACCTGCATCCTCACAGCATCACAGTAGTTTGGATAGCAATTTGAATCGCAGTCCACCCTCAACGGTCGAGGCACAAACACCACCGACGAGTGCCAAAATGGCAGCCGCACTGCTGTCGGCGCCCACCTCGCCAGCGCCATCGCGCTCCTTAAATGGTGTTGGTTATAGCGTTGTCGGCGGCACTGTAACGGAGAGTCCCACCACAGATGCATCGACGGCGACTACGACGGCTTCAGTAAATTCGAGCAACACGACGCCGGGGGAAGATAGTGAGATGCGACGCAATGAACTGACGCTCAATGTGGAGACTTTATTGAGCAGGTAGGGGACAATTTAAGGCGTGCACACATATGTAAGTTGTGAACGCCACCAAGTGGCGGTTGAGAATTGAAAAAGGAAAAATATGTCATTTAAATTTTGTGATGTTTTAAGTATTTAACTTTGACAACTCGAGTTGCAATTATTATTTTTTTTAGATAAATTTTAATTTAATCTCTCATCCTAAAGTAAAGTTATACGCTTAATTCGCACTGTGCCGAAAGTCTACGTTCGAGTAGATTGTGAAACTTCAGTTCCATGCAGTAGTACAATTTAATTCGAAATGACAAGTCGTGTGATGATTAGTGAATATCTAGGAAATTTGTAGGTTATTATTAGGAAAGTACGAATATTAGGCAAATATACTATTAACGTGATGTTGGCGGTTGTTTTCTGGTATCGGTCTGTGAAGGTAGTGGAGTGTGAAGTTTGATAGTAAGCGGCGATGACGAGCGTAATATTTATTAGTTTTTTATTGGTTTTCCTACTGTATGTGCTGGTATTTATTGATATGTGACTAGTTGAAGATCAAAATAATATTAATATTTAAAAGTGTGTTAATTGAAGTGACCGATTTATAAACGTATATTCATTCTATTAATTCGAATGCAAAAGTTACGAAATTTATACTGTCTAACTGTGAAAATGTACTTCTGGCGTACCTAGTACAGATGGCATTGTTATTTTCCGCTATTTTTCATATTTCCAATATAACTTATATTAGGGCGGAGTAATTTGTTCCGAGCTAAATTTTCCAAGAAAGTGTATAGCTTATTCAAATCCTACGATTAATTCTAAGCAAAAAGGGTGAATAGACTCTATACAAAAAATGGCATTTTATCCTCTCAATTATTAAAAGAAAAATCAGTAGATATATTGTGTGAAGAAAACACAAAGTTTTGCATATGAGAATTTAATTTCGTTAAAAAAAAATTATAATACACTAATATTTCTTTTAAAAATTAGGAGGATCGGATGCCATTTTTGGTATATATTCTGTTCATCGTATTTGCTTACTTTTTTCGAAATTGCTCCACTTTTTCCGAAATTAAATTACTCCGCCCTAATGTACATACATATATTTCCTATGGAGCCATGGCCTGTTTATCACAGGAGCAATATGAATTTCACCTAAATGAATTCCTTTTTATCTATATGTATTTCTAGATAGAATTAAATTATGCATCCGTTTGACCAAAAGATTGTTACAAAATTGTCTTGTTTGCCCGCCACATGGCGCTGAAGGTCTGATGTTTCCACCTAGCGGGGAAAAGTAGTACCCGTTGCACGGTTATTTTCTTGCCAATTCTCTTCAGCAATTGCAGGCGATTTAGGCTGCCGTCTAGAGATAGTGAGACGGAAGTTAACGAGCTCCATAAAACCTAAACCTAAGGTTCAGATTGGATGTAGTTTTGGCTGCGGGGTACTCAATTTGAATTCCTGTAAGAGCGCGTCAATTAATGCAGTTGACGCAACCGATGTGTACAAACCAATATTTAGTATACGTGGCCTTCTTACGGAGTACCTTCATTGATAGTAAACCTTGCCTTCTCAAAGGTTAAAATAAAGATTTGCTGTTAAGGAGTTGGAGTGTGCTAAGTTGGGTTCGGAAAAAGCCCATTCCTTTAACTATCGACCAGTTATTCGCCCAGACATTGGATTGGCTAGTGTTTTTGCCTACTAAGGCTTTGGGAAGGTGCGAATAGACAGTCACCGGCTCTAGTGCTCAAACAATTTCGCCACTACCGGTACCTTCAAAGTACAGCATCCTCTGCAAGCACCCCGTTTGCTTAGAGCACTTAATGGCCGCAAAGGATGACCCCCTCGCTCGCCAAGGGTACTTGTGGTTCAAAATCCATTTCGAACTCCACATATGGCACTACGGAGACAAAGACGGGACACTTTTAATGTAAGAAAAGGTTATGAACAGCAGCAACTGGGGCAGAAAAAATTACAAACGTGGACAAAAGTAATGAAGGGATGGCAAGTCCATAAAGTAGCTTCACGACAATGCGGCCTGGGCAGTTTTTGGGGTGGTTTTATAATGAGCTCTTGCGTTTTATTCAACGCCTTCCAGATCACGAACAGGTCGAGTTCCCGTTTGATCGCTTGGAGGGAAATCGGCACCTCCTCCATCAGCATGCTTTCCGACAAACCACCCTCTTTGCCAAATCTGTCGGCCTCCTTATTTCCCGTGGCGCCGGAGTATGCCGGAACCCAGTGCAGATGTACGTCACTACTGGTATGTAGCAAATCCAGAGCTGTCATGCACTCCGCCACATTTCTAGAGGAAGTACTCTGCGATAGTAGCGCCTTTATCACAGTATAACTGTCAACATCTCCTCCGCCCTTCTTATGGCCAGTACCTGCGCCTGGAAAATGCTGCAGTAGTTTGTCAGCATATAGGATTTGTTGAGGCCGAACTCCGATCATACGACTTCATACGCGTAGCATAATGCTTCGCGACAACTTTTGACGCTTCATTCTAGGCCGATAGGTCTTCCGGAAATAGATGCAACAAGGTGAAAAATGCTGCCTTTGGTGTAGTCCTAAATAAGTGCCACTGTGATAATACGCTCACTTGCGGCGTACCCTTGCTAACCGGTTTGGTGGTCTCATGCCTACACCACTGCGCCGAAACAATTCTGCAGCTCAGAACTGACATTGTTAATCTGACAGGACAATGAAAGCAAAGGTACCACCTTTGTAAAATGAGACTTTCTGAAGATTGTATGACCTCTCGGAGCAAACCCTAGATCCTATACTCTGTGGTGGCCTATAGACTTGTAAACCTTGGAAGCAGCCTTGGGTTGGAGTTACTTCTTAAGAGTTACCTCAATAGTTTTTACTAGGTCGCAGCGCCAGTGTGCCGTGATAATAAAAATCTTCTTTATTCTTTCAATTCCGCTTATTCCTCGCAGAGATATAAAAATTTATAGTATGCGATTTAAACAATGCAAATTCAAAATGGCGGACTTAACATAGTTTCAATCACACATTTTAAATTTTTATATCTCAACGAGAAATCATCACCACTGAAAAAATAAAGGCGATTTTTAAAGGTGAAGAAGCGCATTTTAAGTTAAAAATTGTGCCAATATGCGAAAATATACGGTACCGAACAAAAGTTTTGGCACTGTTAATTTTTCGCAGCATAGAGAGTTGCAAATTAGTATGCAAATTTATTGAATTTTCCTGAGTTTTGCACTAATTTTTAATGTTTTATCTTTGTGTTTTTTGATGTAGAATGAACTTAATTTTTATAAAAAATTATGGAAAATAAATTAGAATAAAAAACTTTGCTTATAGTGCAAAAAATGCACTGTGCCAATACATTTGTCCGGCACTGTATACACATAATTTGTTGAAATTTTCCAAAAATGGATTTTTTCAAACTTTTAAGTTAGAATATCTCATGAACCTGGTGGAGTAATTGTGAAACCGGAAAGAGGAAATAGAGGGTCCAGTTTTTTCCAAAATTTTTTGTAATTGTTTTCTTCTTTCTCCGCGTCGAAGAACCAAACTTTATTTTATTTGGCAGCTTTCGTATTTGTGTTGCAAACAAAGGTAGCAAAAATAAAAACTTATCAAAGTTAGTGGCGTTTTCTCAAATAGGTTCCAAAATTTATGAAACTGCACTTCAAACACATTTTTTAAGAACAAAATTTGTGTTTAAAAAAAAGATAAGGTTTAAAAACTACATGAGAAAATGGACCTTAGTACCTAAAAATGTGTTATCTTTTACTTGCTCTATGAAAAACACTAAATGAATTTTTAAACTTAAATGTGTCTATTTTTGAACGACAATCGTTACTACTTAAACCTGGTAATAGTAAAAAACTAGTAATTTAAATGAAAAAATATAGCAAAGAAATTTAGAAAATATTTTAAAAGTTAAATTTATATACCGAAATACATGCATAACAATAAAAAATAAATAAAAATAAAATATAAGAAACGAAGCCTCTGAAAGGGCTCATGTAATATTTCCAATTAAAAAAGAAAAACAATTTATTATAAATGTTTTAGCAATTGGCCAAATAAAATAAATGTATGTAGAGAAAAAGGCGCACAATTAGTATGCCAATAGCATGAGTGAAAAATGTAAGGCTTTTGCCAACGAAATGCCAAAAATGTAACTGAAAATACCTATAACGGTACAAACTTATTAAAAACAGAAATATATATGTAAAATAAGACAAGAGAGAAGTAGTTAAGTATCAGAATTTGCGAATACATACGAATGCATGTATATGAGCAAATCTCACGAGTTGTTTTTTTTTTTTAGTGGCACTCCCTTCTCTCGCCGAAAAAAAAACGCTAAAGCATTAAATATTTCTGCATTTATTTGAACCAATTTAGTTTCAGAATTAAGTTCAATTAAAAAAAAAAAACAAGTACTTAAAAAGTTTTAACCCTAAGACGTTCACTCGACATTTTTCTTTTAATAACTTTGGGAAGTTTTGAGATAGAATGTTCACACTTATGGCAATTAAAGTTGGCACCAAAAACAAGATATCTGTGAAGTTTCAAAAGTGTGCCACCAAATTTAAAAAAATGGCAGCATAAAATATAACGATTTTTTTATTTTATTTTAACAAACACGTTTTTGTCGAAAAATGTAACAACTCGTAAGATTTGCTCTTATATGTATATCACAAAGAATAACTAAGTTTGCTAAAAATATTCTCAATTGTCTAAGCAAAATAAAATCTACAAGTATACAAAAAAAAACTTGAAACAGCTCCCGAATATTTTACTGATTAAAATAACATCCGAAAACACAAACACACTTATGTACATACATATGTATAAATATAGTCCCCTCCAATTAACCTTGAAGCGATGTTTAGTATGAATTTATATGTATCTAGTATAAATATACATAGTATGTGTACCAAAATGTTATTGAAACCTCTGCAGTAGTTCTAAACTAAAATTGAAGACAACAAATAAATATTTAATGCAAGTTTAGGAAAAACGATTTGTAAAAGTACTTAAATTAAGTTAAGTTTATAAAACTACTACCCTCTAAGACGATAAGTATTTTCGAAATAAAAAATGTTAGTCTAAGTAATTACAAAAAAAAAATATAAATAGAAGTAAGCAAAATACCCACACGACTATTTATTTATTAAAAATAGAGACGAATAACCATACTGTGTTTGATTAGTTCCTTTTACATACAAATGTACGAGTATTTTAGTTATTTATGTAGGACTAACTATAGTCACTCAAACAAATGACCACGTGTGTTTTTTTTTTTAGATATTCGTAATAATTTTCCAGCAAATTTTGTTTTTGTTATTTTTATATAAAAACGTCGTCTGAGCTTTAACAAAAACAGTTTCAAACTTTATACAAATTTTAGGAAAATTCAACAAATTTTCATAAAAATTTTAACTTTTTATTCAGAATTTTTAGAAAATTTTGGGTACGCAGTTTTATAGCCCATACAATTTTAGTCTAAAAAAGTGCAAGTTTTAGACGGCTAAAAAATCGCGTTAATTTTTGAGAATTTTTTTAGAAGCTAATTTTTCGGAATTTTTAATATAACAAGCGCAATTTACAAAAACTAGCGTTGATATTTTGAAATTTTGTTGCTGACGGTCTCCCGCGTTTTATTTCAGAGAAATTCATACTTATATGAAAAAAGTGCAAAATAGTTGAAATTTTGATGAAAATTTGTTGAATTGTCCTAAATTTTGTATAGAGTTTGAAACAGTGATTTACACGGTTTTTGGTTAAAATTTAGACGATATTTTTATATAAAAATAACAACAAAAAAAGTAGTTCGAAAAACATTACGAGTACTTGAAGAAAATCAGCACGTGGTTAGTTGTTTGAGTCACAGTATGTGGCGCCACAAAAATTGGAGGTAAGCCAAACAAATTTCTCAGTTGTATTTTTTTTTTTTATATAATATATCTAAAATACTTTTCTTTAAGTAATAAGCATATTAAATTATTTTCCTTTGTGTATTTAAGTCCTATTTCTTTTAAAAAGAAAATAATGTAACAATAATAATTAAATTAGTTATGAACGTAAAAAAATGTTGTTTTTTTCCGACCTTTTATACAACCCTTTAGGAAAACGATGGCAAATTATCCCATTTTGTCAGTTGATAGAAGAAAATGGTGCCACTACTAGACCCACTCCTGGTGATGCTAATGTGGAAATTACTTTCCGTTTACATTCAACAATCGTTAGTTCAGCTGAAAAGAGGCGCACGAATAGCATAAGTTCGACGCCACACAATGGTGCAACGGGCCACAAATGCTGGCAAAAAATTAAAATTTTGAAATGTCTGTGAGCAGTTTTCTATTGTTATGGCTTCTTTAATATTCCAGCAACAATAAGCCAATAAAACAAAACAAACAAAGTAAAACAAACCAAAAGGTTTTTCAAACAAAAAGATTTTTACCTAGAAGTGCAAGGTGAATTTTCATAGTTTTTTGTCCTGGCTTTAAGCAGCCGCTGTGGTGTAGTAGTAAGCAGTGCCCGCTACCACTCGGCAAGGCTTGGGTTCAAGCCCTGGTCAAAGCAACATTGCAAAAAAAAACATAGAAAAATGGTTTTTTCTTAACAGCGGTCGTCCCTCGACAGGCAATGGCAAACCTCCGAGTGTATTTCTGCCATGAAAGCACAGCTTCTCATAAAAATCCATTCGCCATTCGGAGTCGTCGTTAACTGTAGACCTCTCGCCGTTTTTTGTGACAACATCGAGGCGAACGCCACAAATCGGAGTATAAGCTCGGCCAAACACTAATACATGTGTTAGGTCATGGCCACGCTCTGAGCGGCAAAGCGGCGAGCGCTTCAGCGGTGAATGACTTAAAATTAAAATATTTGACATACTATTGAAGTGGCCACACAATGAGCGGTAGAACATCTCGAAACATTCTACATAGCAACACATGGGTACCACGCAATTTGACATCAACCGACAGTCTTTACAGAGAATTTTGATAATAGACTTTCAAGTTGTTAGCCTGCGCTCAAGTCAGGAATTGGTGACCTGTGCTCAAAATCAAAAGGTTATCTCTAGGAGTTTCACGCTTCTGCGCTGCAAGGAGCCTAACCCTCTACCCTACAAAATCCGTAGCAACCATTTTTGCTACCTGCACGAAAGAGATACGGCTACAACAGTTTCGACAGTGAACAACCAAAAATACTGAGTAACATTCGACTGCCAGCTCTCTTTCTCGGCGCACGCAACCGCATCAATGTCCTGTAATCGCTTGATTGGCAACATAGTTGGCAATTTTACGGCGCGCTCTAAACTTTTCAGCGGCCGTGTGGTCGCCGGGGACAAGTCGGATGTAGTGAGCAAAGCTATAGACATGCCACTACAGAGCACACGCTTCCAGAGGTAGCCAGAACATCACATATCACAGGGAGACGCAAACAGAAAGTTCCCAGTAGAGTGCTACATATGTGAGCACCTGAACAGACACTTGCACGAGGCGGAAGCTCCTGCAATATTTCCCGATATAGTAATTCCCAAGTCTGTGTGTGTAAACGCCCATTATAATATGCGCATTAAAATGGCGGCATTCGCATGGGAGTTAATGTCATCGTTTACGAGTATAGTTTGACTGACATTAAGTATTAATTATAACCAGTCTCCTTCGCTTTTCTTCCATATCCAGGGAGAACAAATGGTGCTGTTATTAAGCCAGATGATGTCGATATCACCTACGATTCTATTATGAAAAATTTCACGTTAAAATTCGGCAGCTCTTATTGTCCTCTGCAGCATCAGACATATTTACTCATCTCCACCTTATTCGAGTAGCTCAGTTTACAGTCCGCCAGCTCAAGCAGCTTTACTTTTTTATCAATAAATTCCTTTTCATACCTCGTTATCATACCTTCTGCATTCAGTGTTGCCGTTGAGAATTTTCAGAAAGTCGCAAAAAAAGGGTAGAATTTACATGTACATATATAGTCTTTTCCCGACTAGAACATTCCGCTGCTGAATTTAAAAAGAAAATAGCGGGACAAGATTTCCCCAAAACACAAAAATCGAGTTGCTGCAAGAAGAAGAGTTGCATTTCCTTTAAAAGTGATGAATTTTTTCGTAATTACAGGAGGAAATATTTCATAAAAGCATAGTTCTGTTAAAATTTCATAGAAAAATCTCTGAAAAGGAGCAAAAGTCACACATAATTTTGGAAAAGGATCAAAAAATAATAATTTTTAAGAAGTCGGGTCAAAGAGTTTTGGCACCTAAAAAGGGTCAAATTGCCCCTTTAGTCGCACAACGGCAACACTGTTCGCACTAATTTTAGTGATGTTACCATTAAACGGACCTAAAATATTTACCCTCCTTAACTCAATTATGTTTTGGACATCGGTGACTTGATTGCCGTGGTTGTTCTTACATTAATTCGCTCTGTCCTTGAAACCTCCCGTATGTCGGCTAACTTTTTTCATAAAATTTTTGGCAGTTACAACTTTTATTATAAAAATGGCTCTTTAACAATTATTTTTCGACATTTATTTAATTACTCCTTAAATAACAGTTACGTCTGATTTTTAATTTATAAATCCAAAATAACAGTTATTTTTAATTTTTATCTTAATAATCTGCAAATATCAGTTATTTTTTTAACTTTTGTTTTGAATTTTTCCGTCACATTTTTAAAGGTCTTAACCGTGGACCAAATACAAAAATTGAAATTGGGATGAAAAAATTTTGTTAAAATAAATAAATTTCGAATGCAATTTTTTTTTTGTAATTTAGATGGAATGCATCACTCTTAAATATCGACTAGAGGTGAATATGGCTATTAAATCTGTGCACTTATTTTCAACATTTTCTGGAAATTTCTTCTGGCTATCCTCACAAACTCTTCACAATATCTTTCACAACGGAACGAAAAAGCGACGAAAGCAAACTTTCATAACAGCGCTGAGTCAATTGCCTCAAACCCAGTAACAATGTGCCGAAACGCAACCAATTTGATTGCTGTATGGTGTAGCGCGCGAGGGAAACCAAAGCGCCATTTGCATAACTCTCCAGCAGGACTGCGTTTTCTGCGCTAACGGCCAACTCTGTAAGCCAACAAAATACCAACTATTTATGTCAACATCGACCATGTTCATAAGTACATAGTACCACCGCTTACCTTTCCGACATAGTATTAGGGTTTCAAGAAAATTTAACTCCATCACGTCGGCCCGCAGCTGCTTTGCCTCCACAATAATGCGCCGCAATTGCGGATCACCGCAGGCATCAATCATGGCGCTTATGTCGAGCGACCAATGGGAGGCGCGCAGCACAAAACACTCATTCCACACGGTGCTTAAAATCGCCTCCTGTTGCGCTGCTGCAAGTGTACGGAATTGTTCATTGCATTTAGCCTGACGCAGGCAGGTGACTAGAATTTGTGCAAGTATTTGAAAATTCATTGCATTGCCGGTGGCGTTAACCGCATTTACGGCACCACTGCGTCGTTGTTGTTGTTGTTGCACAAGTGCAGCATAATGCGAAGATATGCAACCGATAGCAGTCGTGCGATTGTTGCCGCCGCTGATGTAACCGCTATGCGTCGGCGACGGTGTTATGCCGCCATGTTTCGCTATGGCTGTCGCTTGTGTGCGTGGTCCGCGCTCTTCCTGCACAGCGGCCACATTCATGCCTACGGCTAAGCAACGTTGCAAACGACAATATGGACACCAATTGCGGCGTGCCTTATCCACAACACAATTGCCTTTTGCGGCTATGCAGGCGTACATGGTGCCTTTGCGTACGCTGCGCTTGAAGAAACAGGAACAGCCATCACAACAGAGCACACCATAATGCTTGCCCGAACTCTGATCGCCGCAAACTTGACAGGCGCTGGGCACATGCGGTGTATGCGCTGTAGTCGTCGTTGGCACAATGCCGCTATATAGCGTGGGTATTGTGGGTGCTGTAGAACTCTGTTGGGAACTATCGGCTGCACCTTGATGTAGCATGTTCGGGAGCCGCGATCTAGGAAACAACTGAAATCCTTTGCTAACTTGCGTGCAGTTTTTATAGCTACGCTTCTCATTTCTAGCGCTAGACGCTGGCGTTTCGTACTACTTTACAGACATTTGCGTATCTCCACATTTCAATGCTTTCCTAGGTAACTACGTTATGTTTTCAATCACACTTCCTTTGTTATTTCTTACTGTTAACTCACATCCTTGTTTAATTTTTGTCAATCATTGCCGCGTGGCACCTCTTCAATGGCGTATTTACATAACCACTTACTTGTATGTCTGTTCACTTTATTGGTCAATAAGCGGTTGTCCTGTCGATCAACGTTGTCCAGCGACTTCAACGGCAAAGCAAAGGTTCGCAAGTTTTTATTAATAAGCGCATCAAAACTGTCCTGCAAGTGGCATGAGGCGGTAATACTGACGTACTTTATGTTGGCAAATTACAGTAAAATACCGAAGTGATGTAAAGGAATGTCGGTTAGGAGTTTCAAGTGCCTAAGCGGTGAAGCATACGATTTTTTACAAAAATTTGGTTTTACGGTCATTTCAGTAAAGAAAATATAGTCGGCGCAAGAAATCTTCGTCAAATGGAGGTCTATTAGGAAAATATATTCTTCTCAAAATTCTTCAGCGGCTAGTCAGGGTTTAGATGAAGGCTTCACCTCGATCTGAGGATTTGGATATGCAAACTGTGAGCCGGTAGAAAAATTTCGGTGCAATAGGGCTTAAATGGGGTAGAGGTGCACCACAAGCTGCTAAAATCAGGCTGTTGAAATCAGGTGGAGGCTTAGCTGTTGTTGTTGTTGTAACAGCATACAAATTCCCCAAAAATATTTTGCGGAGTGATGCTGGAGCGACAGAACTTGGCCAGATATAAATCTGGGTCGTTCCGGTTACGTAGTCCCGACTATCGTGAGAAAGAAGAGTAGCTGTGCTAACAGTTTATATGGCTGACGTTTCAGTCATCGTCTGATGACCCTCAGCTATACGGCCATCAGCGGCTGGACTATAAAAGCGGGACTGAGCGTTCACGTGGACTAAACCAACTTAGTACTATTCACTAGGAAATACAAGTTCCCAGTCTGGAGCAGACACAAGCTAGGAAACTACTCTACAACCAAAGCCAATCACAAGATCCATTTGGAGGTGTGGGGAAGAAGACCTAAGCGGCATTTTATACATGTTAAAATAATGTTGGGCTGTACTACTTCTTGCTTTTCGCTTTCACGTTTGATATTCAAGGCTATTAGTGAAAGGAACAGCTAAGAAAAAGAAGACATATTTAAGAAAAAACCCAACTGGAGAGTCTTGGGCTCAACAACAAGAGCGCTACCTCACACCACATAACACGCGCCACCCGCGAACCTAGTAGCTAAAAATATAGCGTTAACAACTTTCGCGGGGATTTGCGCCTTTATTTCAGCCTGCATTCAAGATATATGGTCACAGTAGTATAGCTTCATCCGTGGTAGCTTGAATAGTCTATGTGATCTCGCACTCGAGTTTCGAAAGGTCTCTTGCAGCTGCAATAGAAGTAGTTAGTTGGCGTACCTTCTACCTTCTTCACACCCCTTACGCCAACCAGCAACCTCTATTTGCACTCATGGTTTCGAAGGCTAATGTAGTCCAAAGACATAAAAGAGCTGAAGGTAACAACCCGGCAGAGAAGCTAGCCAAATGATTCCAGACACGTTGCAAGCGTGTTAAGCACATGGCTCATGTTACCAATAGAGAAGTCGGTCGTACAACTTTTGTTCATTTTCTTATCGCTTTTGTGTTCAGTGCATCCTACCAAACTACTACCCCGTAAAAAATAATCGGTGTAGATCCATATTACAATTTTGAGCTCCAGACAGCAGTTTTGTCCAACAGCCCTGGTGCAGTAGTATCCAGCAGCTGTACTTTACGAACCCTTTCAACGATGTTAGGACTCCAATTTAATTTCCTTTTCAGATTCCTTTTCAGACCTGATTGTTTCTCTGCAGTTTAGCATCATTTAAGGTGATTTTTCCGAGAGATGGACGGATGTGTTTCCTTGTAAATAGTAGCAGTCCTGATTTTGTGAAATTTACTTCTAAACCGCGGTTGCTGCATCATCGCGAGAGATTTATTAGTAAGCATTGTATAAGATTAGCCAGGGTTACTAAATATTTTCCTGTAGCCATACTGGCAATATCATCGGCGTAGGCTCTCACTCTGCCGCTGTTTCTTTCTATCTCTTTCAGCAAGCTGTCAATGGCAATATGGCATAGCATAGGCGAAAGCACACCTCCTTGGGGGCCCCCCTTACCACATACTTTTTTATGGCGGATTCTCCTAGCTCTGAGTTTATGACTCGATCTCGGAGGAGTTTGTCGACAAAGCCCAATATCCTGGTGCGGTGATATGACTTCATCCGGGCTGACATTATTGAAAGCACCTTCAATTTCTAAGAAGACAGGTAGAACATATTCTTTGTAATGCAAAGGTTTTTCGATATCACACCCCTTCTTTTGTTGTATAAATGTGGGCAATTAAAGTGCTTCGTACTTAATAATTCCCTGATTTCGGTGTCCAATATGCGCTCCAGTGACTTCAGAGGGAAGGACGACATGCTTATTGGTCTGAACTCATTTGGTTTGGTGTGCGAAGATTTGCCCACTTTGGAGATGAATAAAAATTTTACCTACGTCCATCTTTGTGGTATCTATATAATCAAAGCTCATAGCCGCTCTATACATTGTTTTTAATTAATAATTATATCCATGGTTTTCTGCAGACCGATGGGTAGGATGAGCAACTGCAAATAGCTTCCTTAGTGCTTTCATCAGAAGTAATAATAGCCCTCCTGTACTTCTGGAGTCAATCTCTACTTTTGAATCCTGTAGTCCCGTAGTCGCTCCCCCGTACTGCAGGGAAGAGGGAATTCGCCATCTGGGGCATCAATCGGTGAATTGTTCGCAACCCTGGTTTCGGAACAATCAGGAAAGTGCGTCTGCATGAAAAGTTCGAGCGTTTTGGAGCTGCCAACCGTCCATTCATCATTTCCTTTGAGCAGGGAGCTCAGCGCGCTTCGACTTTTTGAAAGGATCTTGAGTAATCGCTTTGGCTTCGAGCTGCTTTCTATCGTTTGACAGAAAGTTTCCCAGGACCAGTTCATTTTACCAAGTATTCACTGTCTGTAATGGAAGCATATATTTTAACTAACATTCTGCAATGGTCCCCTCCCACTTATTTTATGGCATACACATACATACATACTTACCTATCTACGTTTGTTTACTTTGATTGGTGTAACCGTGACTGGCAATGTTTATTTACACAATGTTTCCTAACCAGCAACTACCGAGAAGACCACTTAAACTTTACCTTTAAACAACAAATAACACACTCGTCTTTGTACGAGCCAGTTGTTACGAGTATTCTTCAAGTGTTGGTCAATTTGTCAGTTGTCACGCGTCATTGTGGTGTCGTGGGTGTAACCAACAATCAGACAACAGCTAACATTTTGCAGCGTTAATAATTTGTAAACAATTAATTTGATTTGATTAGACCTTTGCCATCGCTGATTTAAGGGGTGTGATAGATATGTGTAAATGTACATATTTATATTTTTCTATACCCGAGCGCACCTGAGCACAAGGGTATTATAACTTTGTTAGCATAACGGTTGTAACAGCCTAAAGGAATAGAGCTAGATAGATAGAGACATGTATACAACAAAATGTTCAGAATGAAAAGAAAAATCGATTAAGCCATGTCTGTCTGTCCGTACGTCTTTCCGTTTTTCAAGAAAAAATAACCCCTTTTTATCATGCAGCTTACAGAAAGTTGGAAAAACGCTATTTAATACGTGCACCGGCTACTTGTTATGCTTAGAGTTCTTAGTCAGTAGGATATTTGCATTTAATGCCTTTGACGAAGTGTGCATGGGTAGGGCAGTCTTTTTGCGGTTATTGGTTAGTTGCTCTAATGCCGCCATTCAACTTACTTACATACAAATGTTACATACATATGTATATATATATGTCTATAGACACTAATGTATGCATGCGCGTATGCATCAATGCGCTGTTTATTTGATTCACTGATGTTTAAAGTAAACAGTTGACCTACCCCACATTTTGATAAACCAAAGTTTATTCAAGCGGACAGCACCTGAAATGAGGGTAGGATTATCCCTATCCAGTAACTGTTGGAACTCCAGTCAGCACACCTGTCAGCATGGCATAGCGATCTCAGTGGATATAGAGGCGCTTTGGCCAAAGTTGGCTGAAGTTGATGACTCGTGTTCGAATGTAAATGGCTATCTCTCCGAACTTTCTCATTTCTTCTTTGTAGGGAGGCTAAATCTCTCTCATGGTGTAATGTTCCGGGGCCTTGGAGGGTGGTCAGAGTTACCTTTATTCCTAAGGTCTCTCATATGTATAT